AGGATTAGATGGTGGTGGTAGTAAAAGATCAGCAATACTTTTATCGAGAGCAAGAGAATCCTCTGGTGTTTTATTATTATCTAATGAAAAATCAAAAGCAAATGTTGATTGCTTCAAGAAATAATTTTCCGCCTGCAATTGTTCGACTAGTGATTTTAATTGGGCATTTTCATGCGTGGTTTTAGCTGTCTGCGATTCTAAATCCTTGATTTTGGTCTCTAGCTCTTTGACGTATCGTTCTTTTCGTTCACGAAAAGCTCTTTGCGCAGCACGATTTTGAGCTTTGCGTTTCTATTATATTTGGATAGATGTAATTTTGTAAGAATTAATCACAATGTAATGCAACTATTATGAATACACTTACAGAGCTTGGTGTGTTTGTTAATGGTTTTCTGCCAGGTTTCTTTTTTTGTGGTTCTGATGAGTCTTGTGGCGATTCTGGCGAATCTGATAAAGATTCTAATAATAATAAGTATTTGATGTATCCAAAAGCCAATAAATTGTTATGTATCATTCGATAAATACCTTGACCGGAAAGGTCAGCATGAGGTATAGATGTAATGTTGAGATTATCTATTGACATTCAAAATTATTATTCGTGTATATTCATTCAATCAACCGCAGCATACACAAGAACGAGATATGTTACATACGATTAGCTTTCAATGGAATTTGGGTCACAAAATCTTCCAACTGTTCCAGTTTTCTTTTAGAGTCATCGTTATGAGCAATAGCCTCTGCCAAAAATTTTTGCGCTTCAAAATTATTATCGATAGGGGCAAAGTCCCAGGCATCAAAAGTGAAAGCAGCGGCAGCAGCAACTGCAGCTTGTTGAGTTGTGTCCGATGTTGAAGCGAAAGACGTAGTGTCCGTTGTGTAGATGGGATCCATTTATTTTCTGCTATTTTCCCACGAAAAAGTGTCAATTGTAGGTCTCCGGTGTAAACTTGAAAGAATTTCTGAAATAAAAAAGATTACGTGCCCCCAAATATTTTTGTTTTACTGAGGAAAAAATGTGTACAATAAAAATTACTCGAATTAGAGAAAGGCTTCTTGTGTGCGATAGATCAATGATATATAGTGTGTCATTGATTGTGTTGCCGTCCGATGATCGTTTCTATTCCTTGTAAGAGTCAATAGTTTGCTTTTTTTTGGGGAGCTATTAAAAGTAATGTTTACTACGGAATTACTGGTTTTTTTGGTGAGAACCTAATTTCTGTGTGATATAATTTCTGTTACAGTAAACTTACACAGCATAAAATAACAAATGAAGTGCATCCATTAATATATGGAATCGGAAAAATTATCCCCGTTCGCTTTTTTAAAATGAAGTAATAAATTTTTACTGCGATACAAATTTCGGAATGGCCAAATATTTATATTCTATTATAAACTGACGATGACGTATTTAAATTAGCCACGTTTTGTTTTTTTTGGATCTGATATAGATCTGATAACAGTTTGCGTCTAACTGGGAAAGCATAAAATTATGTGAAAAATTCGTTTGGTTCGAATCTAAAGTCACATGAAAAATTCGTTGCTTGTTACCGTACGTCACTGACTATAGTACCACTTAATATTCTTTTAGTTCATCGATAGCGTTTTCACATTCTTGACATTTTCTCTGTAAATCTTGATCCTAGCAATAATGTTTTCGTAGTCTTGACATTTCGTTTGTGATTGCTTTTTTAGTTCAATTGATCTATAACTGTTCGATAAATGCAATGAAAAAATTGAGGCGCAAAGAAATTTAAAGAGACGTTTGGTAATAATACCTCAGATCAATAATTTGCAGATCAAGCGCGTCAAAATCCACGTATTGGCGAGGTTTTGCGTTTTGAACATCTTCAAGTATACAGTATCATTAGCTTTAGACCCAACGCATGATAAAGTTGAATTTTCTAGTTTCACGAACTTCGACATCCTATGTAAAAATTTTTATTATCAAACTATATTGCTTTTTAATTTCGTTTGCCTATTCGTTGCCTTCGATGCATCAATATTTTCAAGTATAAATTCACCGCCGAAAGAGGAAGCTGTTCGCATTGTGTACTCGCAAATAATCCGAGTACCAAAATAATTTCATACATTCCGTCGTTGCTTTTTTGTTCGCGCAAAAAAATTTCTACCATCTCATTCGTAAGGGAACTACATTGTTAGTCGCCTCAAATGCTCGACGTGTGATCGTTTCATGAGTAAAATAAGTACAACAAGATCTTGAGACGATTGGATTGGATGTACAATTCCCAGTCGATAACATCCTCATAAAAATATCGATTGATGCCTAAATAACCGAGCTTTTTACGATAAGAATAGTTCCAATGACATCCTCGAGAAAAGACTATCTCGTATAGTAGGGTTTTGTTGAATTTTCTTTCTTTGAAAGAATTCACGGATTATGTCTTGAAACAAAGATGTTTTGAATGTTCTTGAAAAATCTAACGATAAAAAAACATTTTAGAACATTATTTGCTTGTGAAAAGAAACCAAATATCCATTTGGAGTTTTATGATCAGATCATAAAGAGGGCAAACGGAAAATATCCTCAGCAAGAGAAATTTATTAGGCATTTTTCTTTAGATGCTCAACTACTTCACACCATAGTATTAAAATTGCAATCCATTATGTAATTAATATGACATCTGTAATTAATAATTACTAAGCATCAATAACAGTAACAGTTAGTTCAGTCGCGACTTTTTCAATTAATTAATTCGCGTTTAACATGTAGTGATCAATTGATTTGCAGAGTTAATTTTTATTACAATTATTTAAACATAGTGACGTTATCTTTTCCTTCTATTACTTGTAACCTCCTTCACTGTATCTTATTCTCTTCTCATTTTGATTTTCAATTATGCCTAAAACCAAAAAACAACGTCAACTGCTCGATTTCTCACAGACAGACAACAAAAAAGCTGCGGAAATAAAATGTGGCCATCCCAAACATCAAGAATACCTTGACACACAAAAAATCAACGATGGCACTGATAATAAAAATCCAAATAACCTTGTTCGAGTCCCTCAACGTATGGTGATGGCGCTTGAAATCAATAAAGACATGAAGATTTGTACTAGATGTTTGTATAAAACTGATAAAGATCCAATGGTAATTATATTTGTAGTGTGATATGAATTAATTATACATACTTTATTTCTAATAAAAAATCTAAATAATAATAAAGTATCTCAATCATCCAAAATTCGTGACGCGTAAATCGAAAACCAAGAAAAATCTCTTAGAGAATCTCAAGATTGAAATGGAAGGATTTAAACTTGATGAAAGTTATTATTAAGTTGTTTGGCATTATAGTTGTAGAATGATTAATATAATGTCTGTCTATAACAATGACATGTATGACACAGAACATGCAAAAAGTTATCATAGATATCATTTGAATATTTTCCAGAAAAAAATACACACGGCCTTACGGAACTACGATCTGACTTCTATTCACATTTTCTTTCTAAAAAGTTACTTCAATTCACGCTCACGACAGATCTTTCTCTTTTACTCAGGGATGATTCCTTTGGTGACTTGCAATATTGCTTCTTAATAGCACATACGTTCTTTGTCACAAGTAATTATTCTATTCACTATATGTAAATCTCGCATTATTTAATATTCTCATGCTTTTATTTTAGATAATTCTAGTTGAAGTTCATAATTTTCAAAAGAATAGTCCAAGAACATTAAATTCTCCTTCAAGTGAGGCGGATTGTAGCAGTTGGGAAATGGGAATCGACGCGAATAATGTTGTCGATAATAAACTAGAATAATGAATATATGGAGTCCATTGAGACTATCTCTTTTGAGGGTCTTACTATGCTAAAAAAAAACTCGATTCCAAGAGCATATTATTGTTATTTTTATGAAGATGGGAAGCACACAACCAATCTCTTTATGATCATGCTGTATTTATTCTACTTGTGAATAAATTGCATGAAACAACCATCTCTTGGGTAAATATTTATCCACCAGTAATGCGATTCATTTTTTGAATCAGATAGAAGAATGGTGGACATCTTGATGAAATGTTAAGGCATTTGAGGATGATATATTTGAGCAGCACACGGTAAAATTTTACTTAGAAACTTTGATAGTTATTGAAGCAATGTACGCGTATATATATATATTTTATTTGACTAGTTTGATTTTAATTAAATCTATATTTTTTCATTTGTAGAATGATACAAAAACTCTGTTCAAGAAACTATCGATTTAAGTTTGTTATGCGTTGTGTTAAAGCTCATTACGAAATTATCCACGAAATTCAAGGCGAAAAACTTCTCGAATGCATTGATCTTGATTTGCTTGAACCTAAAATAGTCGCTAAACAGTAAAACGACAACAGCATATTTTATTGCTAATAGTTCATTTGATTATTTCAATGTCGAAAAATTCTCGCCGAGTCGTCATGCCGAATTGCTCTGTCAATCCATAATTCAAAATATCGAGCTTTGAAGAAATCTTTTCGACGATTCAAAAGAGAAGGAGAAGACTATCATCGAACTTCAAAAATGAAATTGCAAAATTAAATCCAGAAAATCAACACTCATATCATTCTCACTATCACTCTTCATAATAATTAAATATTATTCAGGTAATGTGTATATATATATATATATATATAATTAATATTTAGAGAATAAGTTTATTTAAAATATATAATAAAAATCTTAGTTTAATATTTTTATAAATTTGCATTTTATATTCAAAAAATTAGCTTGCAAAAATTAATTACAAAAATTTTTTAAAAAAGTCGTTATTATAAATTAATCTTAAGTAAATTTGTTTATATAATAAAGTAAAATATAATTTGAATTATTTTTTTATGGCTATATAATTTATAATTTTCTTATAAAAGAATATGTATAAATGTTTGCAAATTAATTTTCAATATAAAATGCAAATTAATAAAATATAATAATAAGATTTGTCAAGAATATCGATATATACAGTGTATATATTATTTAAAATAAACTTAAAATTTTTAAATAAAAAATAAATTATTAAAATCAAACTAAAATTTGATTATATTCATTTATAAATCTTTATTAAATAATTTAATTATAAACTGAAAATTATCACAACTATATAATAACTATTTATTATCAATATTTTATTAGGTTAAACTAGTCATAGCCCAATTTTTATATGAAAATTATTGTCATTTAATTTAAAAATATTATAAAAACTTAAAGAAAATTAACTATCAGTAAAAATAATTCATAGGCTTCAATGAAAATCATAAAATATTCAAGGAAATTTATCAAATTAAAAGATATAATTTATTTTTTTCATTTTTCAAATCTAAAGTTTTAAGAACTCTACTCCTATTCAATAAAGTCAAACAATGCTCTCAAAAACTTGAAACCCTGAATATTGAACTAAAATAACTTTGATACTATGAGAGTGCTATTGCGATATTTAACTTGCTAACATTTTGTATTTCAATATTACGTGTAATATCATGTTATGCATGCTTCTACGTGAAGTGATGCATTTTTGAACAATTATAAGAATGAAATACCGATACAGATTTTAATTTTGCATGCATGTTAGTAATTTATTTTAATCAGCGAATTTAGTTTCTGAAAAATCTAATGATTTAATTTCAAACTAAATTGCATAAGTTTTATTCTGCTAAACATCTCGTGAAGTCGGATATGAAAATCGTATATACATATATAATATGTAAAAAAAACTTTTTTTCAAGAACGAAGTCATTATAACAAATAGACAATTTTCAATTTTAAATAGGAATTAAAAAAACAATAGCGAGCAAACTAATGGTTTTAATAAAACATGAAATTCAGGATTTAATTTCGAAGTTCAGGAAAAATTCCAACCCTTAATTTATTTTAGATATGGTTATTATACGCGCGTTTAAGTTAACGAGATTACCAAAGGAATATGTCAAGGGAAATTATTAGTAATTAAAGTATAAATAATATCTATTTTCAAATTTGTTAACAAGCAAAGCGTACATGGTTTAGTGGTATAATTACCGCCTGCCACGCGGTAGACCTGGGTTCGATTCCCAGTGTACGCACAAATTTAAATATTTGTCTTTTATTGACGATTTCAATATTTATGTGTATTTCGTGTAACTTTGTCAAATTATAACGATAATAAATTTGCATGTAAAACTCTCGTATATCGTACATATTGTTTATGGCAATGTAAGCTACGGAATTCTTTTGATAGAAAACTATTTGTATATTACATTGGAAATTATTCATTAAGAACTAAATGTGACTTGAAAAATTTGAAGACACAAGAAACCCTACGATTACGTAAAAGTGCATCCGGTTATTTTATCGAATATGATATGATGCATTAGTATTCGCGTGTTTTACAAAAAAACTCCGCGCTAATCGCTAAAATATTCCTTACTACGCTTAAATGGTCTCTATAGTGTTTTGTTTTTATTTTTGGATAAAGAAAAGTGAAATATATTGAAAATAAACTCAACAAGTAATTTTATTACGCAGTAACGTATAAATTTGTTGAACAACACACCATATAGCATGCACTCCGAAAAAATAATTATAAGTTTTATTAAAAAACTAAAGTTTTAATTAAAGAAATCTCTTGCAATTTATAGAAAGTATTGACATTAAGAAAGTTTTTTCTTATAATTTTATTGCGGTCGTTTTTGAGAAATTGCAGAAACGAGTATAGACAACTTTTTCGCAGCGATTCTTGTATAGAAGACACCTCTATAGAGAACATATTTTTAAAATCAGCATTCAATGCCATAAAATATTTTCTAGCCATTTAACATATACGGGCGCATAAATATTGAATAATTTTATCTATTTTAAAACGCAATAATTTTTGTTTATCGAGATTTAAAAATTGTAAAATTTTCGCGAATATCGCAAAAATGAGTCTTGCCAAAAGAAATAACCCTGAACAACAAGTGACATTATTGCATCCAAAAGCACGGGTGACACAAAAAGCTCGTAACCACCAAGGATCCCTGACCTCAATCCTATCGAAAATAATAAATCCGACCCATCTAATATTCGGGAGCTAGAAAAAAATTATACCGCAAACTAATCTCCTCTATGTCCTCCCAAATGCAAGCAGTTATTTCTGCTAATATTGGGTCATACAAATATTAATGTACAGGGGGTGGAAAGAAATATTGGACTTTTTGCACATTTTTAAATTGATTTATATCATTGGATCTTGTGTTTTGAAATTATTTTATAATAAATTATTTACATATAGTGAAATCTATAACCAAAAACAAATCTCGTCCTCATATGATGCATCCAGGAGTTATAAAGCTACATGCAATTCCTCTCAAAAAATTGCTCTTTAAATTTCATCACATAATATGCCATGGAAAAGAATTAATGGAAAGTCAGAAAGATGGAATTATTATTGCAAAAAAACTTGACCACACACATACTGAGATCTCTAAGACTGTAGGTTATTCTGTGCTCTGCATGTTAGAAGTACATGAGCTTAAAAAATCATCTAAAAAACAATCAGATCATCCATGAGAAGAGAGATAAAAGAAATATTAAACAATTTTTTTTTAATTAATTTTATTTATTTATAAAAGATTCTGATATTTATTTATTTATTTATTTATTTATAGAATGATTTAGATATTTATATAATAATTCTAATACTTTATATAACCTGAAAAAGAGTTTAATAATTGAAAAATTTATATTAGTTATCAAATAGAAAAAATATAATATAGTAGATAGTAAATGCAATAAGTCAAATATGTTAATTATGATTAATTTATTATACATTCTAAACTATACTTATAGAAAAAGTATAAAGAATTAATTTTAATAATAAGTAAGATAGTTTATCATAAAATTATGAGATTTGACAAGATATTATAGAAATTATCTTTGGATATTATTGAAATAAAAGTGATTTTATTGAAGAATTTGAAGAGTTTATCATATTCAAATTTTATTAAAGAATTATTATATATAATTACTATATTAGATATATTTCTTAATATATTATCATAAGAATCTAAAAATAAAAAATTTTGTATAAAAGTTTATAATGTAATTTATTTAGAAAGTGATAAAATTCTAAGAATATCTAGAAATTTTCATGATAAAGAGTGATTCAGTAATATTATAGTAATTTTAGCTAAAGATCAAAATTATTATAAATCAGATGAAGGTGCTTGATATAAAAAAATAAATATAACTTGAAGAATAGTAAAATATAATTTCAAATTTAGTAATTTTGAATAAATTAACCTTTATATTTTTTTTCAAAAGATACTATTCTTTTTATAGTTTTTTTGAGAATTGATAAAGAATTTATATAATCTTGCTATAATTTATTAATAAGATATTATGCTAAATAAGTTAGAAAAGTATAATTATTATTATCTTTACTATATCAAAGAGTATAATATAATTCTAATAGAATTTATAGATCAAGAGATATATATTATATTGAGATTTAATAAAAAAAATTATTTTTTATTAAATAAATATATATTTTGAAAAACTAATAGACAAAGAATTTTAAAGTCAAATTTGTATCTGTTATAAACTTCAAAGAAAAAAATAAATAATAATATATATAATTAATTTATTATTATTTATTCTAGAGATGGGAGCCGCAACTAGCTACAACTCTGTCACAATTCTCTGATTGGCTGCCGCAACTCTGTTGCAATTCTCTGATTGGCTGCTGCAAGCCACAATTAGTTGAGGAGCCATCTTTAATTTATTCATTTAATTTATATTTAAAGAATTATAACAATCTATAATTATAC